AGAACTTAAGACTATTAGGAAATAGTAAGAATGTGTAGGCTTACGGCAAACAGTCTATTCTTGAAAAAAAGCAAAGAAACTTTTCTGAAAAGAACAACAAAACACCATGGGAAGTTGAACTGACTTAAACACTTAAAAATCATCATTGTGTACACTTAACAAAAAACACAACGGAAAAATGACAATAAAGAGCAAGTAGTGTTGATTTCATAAATTAAAATAAATGATATTTAAAGGGTATTTCTCTTCTGTAATCATTGAGGATAAAATGCAGACTTAAGGAGCATGCGTTGCAAGTACCAAAAATTTAACAAAAAGATCTCATTACAAATCTGATTTAAAATATTCTTTTAACTTTAGTGGTTTAGCTGGCAAGTATTTTTGGTGACCATTTGGATTATCTACAATGCTAAAGAAAAGTGAGAGGGCCTCCAACTGTTTCGCCAATTTCTTAGGCTATACTCTGTCACTGTTTCATATAACGCTATCTTCAAGATGCATGGGAAGGGAATCACTCTTGCCAAAAGGCAGTACGGATGCTTTTAGCTTTCACAGACCTCCAACACTATCCCAAACAAGCACGATGGCCTCAAAACATATACAAGGCATACCTGTGCAATACTGCAGTGCCAACAGCCAAGCAGCACACCTGACCTGCAAGTCTGCAGCATGGACAAAAGAATAAAAGCCATTTCCATACTACTTGGCCTGGGGGCCGGTGATTCCACTCCAGAAAGGATGCATTAAACACTAAAACACAGCAGTGAGACTAGTCCCAGAGGATTACTTCAGAGCTGTCCGATCTGATCCACATGAGGGCTTTTCTTTCTATATCAAAGTGGCATGGCATGTGCTAGACCAGCCAAACCCCACTACGAGGCACCACTGCAAAAACTGAACAGAAGTTTTGGTGCCACTGCAGAGAGAGATAATATAGTAACAGCACAGGTCTTCTCATGCGAGGTATAATGCAGGTAACAGAAAAATCATTCTTATTACAAAGTAATCCTAGCTTTACAATGTGTCCTAAAGCAACACTGAGAAAAGGTGACAGGATACAGATAATTCATTGAAAAGCATGATATATTCAGACAGTGTCATTTAACACCATGCACAGCTCATATTTTACATCATTGAATGTTCAAACCATATTTTTTTTCTTAGCAAAACAACTCTGAGTAGCTTTCTTTATAAGTTTACCTGTTGCAGAACAATAGGAATCCACTTTTCCTTGCCTTCTTCAGCTACTTCCAATGTGTATTTGCTTCTATTTGAGATCATGAAAAATGGAGTGAAAGTTACAATTCTAGTAATATTAAAACTGCTGTTGTTTATGGTGACACCAACCTGTGAATATAAATACACTGTTAGAAGTACTCTGTTCTCTTCTTACTTCAACTACATCTCTTGAAAGCAGTGAGTTTAAAAGATAAATTTAACTCACTTGATATTCCTTTTTATGACTCTTGCATTTCACAGCCCCATGACTTCCAACAGTGTCCAGTGAAAATGGATCAGACAGTTCACTGTCAGTTACCATAAGCTGCACCTGTGAAGAAGCACCTTGAATTAATTTTCAATTTATAGACACTGATGACACTTAAAAACACACATAAGGTAGAGAGATATATATAAGCATAAATATAAATGCATACTAGAAATACAGGTGTTTCTATTAAAAAGTCTAGCCATAACAATTGTCAGTGTCGTCTCACACAGGTATTTTCTTAGTTTTAAGCTATGTGGAGTAAGATTTGTAAGTGTACGATACTCCAGAGGAAGCAACCACATAAGGATCCTCTCCAAAACCATCACAATTAAAATCTCAAAGGGAAATCAACACAGTCTTGCCTCTCATGTTCAGCATTAAAAAAAATCTCACATAGCAGACTCAAACGGTAAACTGTATCTTTTAATTTTTCAGGTATCAGAGCTTAATATTTCTTACACAATTTCTATGTCTTATTTGGAGTAAGGACCTTTATTGATGAAGTTTAAATGGAATAAAGGAAATTATTTTATGTAGGAAACACTCAGTGAATTTTATTCCTCTCAAAGATGAGAATCCTTTTCTTAACAATACCTTTGATAATGCAAATTTCCCATCTCAAGCATATCTGACAACACATTTATTTAAAATACTGTCTTTAGACAGAGATAATGTAGGTTTCCTACACTTTACAGAGCATAACATAGATAACTGATTTCAAAGTGTAAAAATGCTTTCATACAACAACACAAGACAATACAGAGCTGTCAGCTTTTACAAAATATAATACCAATACAATACCTTATTATTTTGGAAGACGTTTTTGGGCTGGAAAGAAAAAAGGAGTGGCTTTTTATAATCCGGAGGATGTTTGCGGTGAATACCATCAGCTTTGTATTGCAACATTCGGCCAGTTTTATTTACCATCCAGTATGGACTGTGAATTGCTATAACCACCTGTCCAGTTGTGTAAGTCACACGGATAGCAATATCCAGTTCAGTTTTATCCAGCTCCGTGATGCAGTAAAATGTTGTGAAGCTGATATAGGGTAGATCGCTTTTTATATGGTACTCACTCTTCCAATTTTGATCAAGATAGTTAAGCAACTGTAAATCTAGTTTAGTTTGATCCAAGACTGCATTATGAATCTGGGCTGAACATCCTTCTTGTAGAGTGTCACATTTGTTCCCGTTTCCCTTTTAAAAAAAAAAAAACCAAACAGTGTACATGTACATGAGTTACACTCAAAATTCGATTAACTTTTACTATTTAGGCAAAATTTTAAACAGCTTATTATACTATTTAACCATGTTACATTCTTAAAAGCCTGCCTTAATACAACATTTCACAGGAAAATTCCATGCATGGTAATCAATATTTAGTCACAAAAAAAATTTGGCACCAAATTCAAATTATAAATGTACTTAGATGACGGGAGTTCCTCAAGTCAGCATTTCTTCCACTAAATTTAAATGTGTAAGGGGTGTACAGAATAGTGCTTGTCATTTCCACACATTTGGTAGAGGCCACAGTCTCTAGCTCTAGTAATTGTGCAATTGTGACAAAATTTTATGGTTAAATTCTACTATTTGAGTCCAAATACTAAATTAAGACAATCTGAAAAAACATGTTTCAGTGTCTCCCATCTGTATTTCTATTATCCTAAGTCTACATCACTAAGCAGTGGGACACAACCATGGTACATCCACACAACGGAACAGTTAGTGTCGAGGAACCAACGTCAACACTGTACATCTTACAGATCTTTTACATAAGACTGCCTCTCATTTGGCCCCAAAATGAATGTCTTTTAACAGTCAAAGTGCACCTCATTGTTTAATTTCATCTGCAGAGAATATTATGTCTGGCACTAAGCTGCAATTCAAACAAAACCTGGCAAAAACCGCAGGCCTGTGATTACGCATACAAAGCATTCTACTGCTTCAGGTCAGCAACAGCACATAGGATGCTACTGTAGGCTGACCAACTTATTTCACCTGAGACACTTGTCAATCACAGGAAAAACTACACTGCTTAATGAGACTCAAGCTGTGCTTGAGCAACCAAAATCGACTCTCACAGGTCTACATTTGCATACTTTTAAGTTTTACTTTGGTTTTGTATCTAAAGTATAACTTATGATTAGTAAAATCACTTTTCACATTCTGGTACTGTTTCATCTCTATAAACACAGATTTGCCCTTAAGTAAGTTTGCTTCACAAAAACTCTAACTTTGCTTCTAAGTTGCTTCACAAATACTCTAACTCTTTCTTTTAATATCCATTTACAAACATATTTCAACCACTTGATCAGCCTTCATATCACAGGTGGGAAACATCACAAAAAGTTTAGAAATTAAAAAACTACCTCTACAGAATAAGTTATTTGATATGGAAGAAGGTTGCGGAGAAGAACAGAAGGCCACAAATGAACAACATATGGAAAATCCCACTGATCTTCTGCACACAATGAAGACATCAACGTGTCTTTTACAGGAACAATATTGATGATAAGTGACTGGTTAGTAGACTTCATGGACTGGCATTTCCTTTGCAACAAACTGCCAACATTTTTCATAATTTCATCAAATGTAATTCCTTCACACATATCGTACTCTCCAGCCACTCCATCTTCATTGGACAGTGGTTGCAAGCTCAACATGGATCTGTAAACAGAAACATTTTTTAAACATTCAATGAGAAACTGAATTTTCCAGTTATGAAAAAATACTATGTAACACTAAAATTCTAGTATTATCTGGATTTTGGAAGTTTTCTGACAGCAGTTCATTGCCTGCCTTTATCTAGCTTAAAGTAGGAAAGACAAGTTCAGGAAATTCCACCAGCTGGGTTTTTTGTTCCATAACTCCACACACTTCCCTTGCAAAGAATGGACTGTTGGAGATCCTTACAAAGAGGCTACTAAATTCTTTTAGAAGTGCTGCCATATTCCTGTTACAAGCAAAGGCCTGTGACAAATCTCTCTGCAGAACGTGCCCTTCTTTCCAGTTGTATAAAGCATCAAGTTTATGGATTATTTACCCACATGGCTTTTGGAAGGCAACTGCTTTAACCTAGTCAGCAGCTCAGTGACTGATGATTTCCTGACTGCCTAGTGGAACTCATCCATGTGCAACGAATGAGAATGTTACTAAACCTTAGTAAATAAAATACAGATAGTCAGAAACATTAATGAACTTGCACTGTCTAACTTACAGGGAAGTGTAACTTATTTGACAAAAAAAATACACAGCTGCCACCCTAAAAAAAATACGGGGAGGGTGTTTGGAGGAAAACAGAAAGAAATAGTCTCCATAATCACATAAATCAATCAAAGAAAACTTATCTGCCTAAAAGTTGGTGACAGTTAAGCTAAACTGTACACACAAACTCACTGCAGTTTTCAGTGGGTATTAGCTTGAAGATGCTACTAGCATAGCTACGCTGGAAGCCAAGTCTTTCTAAGGTTGACAAGTCTTTTTCGACATCTGTGACAGAGCTTATTGGTTTCAATTCATTACTTCAGAACAATAAAATTCACAAGAAGCCTTTCAGAAGAAAAAAAAAAGTGTAATACATCACTAGCCATCACCCTACTAGGAAAATAATTATGTACTCCGTGGAGAACAATTACTGTATTCCAGAAGCACCTGGGCTTGGATTGCTGAAGTAACTTAGCTCATTGAAGTTGCCTGTTAAATGGATTTCAAATTATTTCCAGTTCAAGAATTACATTCTTTTCAACTCAGACTAGATCCTCTGAGAAGATTCTACCCAACCATGATAGTACAGTATTAATTATGTTAGGTAGCAAAGGGAAACAATTTTTTTATAGCACAATTGTATGAATACAACAATCAACAATGTATAAACATATTCTTTAATACAAGAACAATGCCATTAAAAAGTACCTGTAAGAAGACAATGGTATGTTGAATTCATTTTCTGGTGAAGCAGTTCCTAAACATCTTCCTTCCTCAAAAATATTTAATGGGATTGAAAAATGATTCCTTATCTATGTGAAATAAAAATCCAGCAATACACATTAGAAAAAACAGGCAAGATTAAACTGTTTTGAGCCTTACAGAACACAGAATGAAAACTCTTTCATTGTTCATCTTGTCTGTTTACCATTCAACGTCAGACATATCAGAACTGTCTCCTAATACCAGTAAATCTCCCTAAATTATTTGCCATTATGTGTCATTTAATTCTATATTTTAGTTACAAAATTTATAGATTAGCTGTAAAACTCTATTCAAGAAGAAACACAAAGCCTAGCAAAACCAAAGACAAGTAAATCTGAATTATATAACAACCTTCCAAATAATTTTCTACTAAAAATATAACAAATACATAGGTGTGTGGGTCAAAACCTTTATTGCCAAAACATAAGGAAATTCTAATATTTATTTAGGATTAAACAACCAATTGCCATTATAATAGATTTGTTGTTCCTTGTAAACATTTATTTAATTTCAGGGTTAATTTAATGGCATTACTAGCTCTGGAAAATAAAATAAAATTTAATTTAGAGAAGAATAAGACTGTAAATCTTGAACCAAGTCATAAAACACTGTGGGCAAAAGCAGCAAGTGAAATGTAACAAGGGCACTATCACTAGTATCAGGATCACCCCTCTACTTGTAAACTATATAACCAAAAATACTACGCAATCAGAAAAGATACGTGCTCAAAGAGTTCACTCTTCAGCTTAATTGGTACTAAATTTGAAATTCATGTGTCAATGAAGAAAAAGGAATCTGACAGAGTAACCCTGCAGAATTAAGGTAAGGTTGAGAGCGGTGTGATGCCTTCACACAAAACAAACAGTTAAACAAGACTGAAAATAGAGCTAGTATCAGAAAACATTACTGACGAATTATCCTGATCTAAAATCTGGTCCATTTCCAGCCTCATCCCGTGTCTTCGTCACTGTGAAGAAGTTTTTTATTCTTTAAAAATCTCTTCTAGGCTACCTTATAATCCACAACAGCAAAGTTACATGAATTGTTCAGGTAAGTTTTTAAAATATATTTTTAAAAAATATTAAAGACAACAGGATCATTTTCATTCATTAAAAAAATTAAAATAATAATGAAATTATAGTGTATGGAAATAGAATAACCTGAATAGGAGAACGTATAGTTATCATTTTGCTTCCTTCAACAGTATCAATTTGGCAGACAATGGATCTTTCAACACCTGATTCTTCATGTCTTACTCTGTAAATACACCGACCCACTTTTGTCAATGGAATCTTTTCCACAGTGGAATGATTATGTGGACCTAGAATTTAGAAGATGAGAAATGAAAGACTCGGAAGGAGCATAAAGATACATTTGAAAGACTGAAATGTGCATTGAGCAGAATTTTCAGTATCATTCAAGCTATTAACAAGGTACAGCTCATATATACTGTGAAAAATATTAAATTAATAAATTATATGGTCCAGGCCAGTTTGGAAAAAATAGTTCTGAAAAACTGTCAATTGTTACAATAAATCTACTTCATTTTTTAACATGCCATTAAAGGTAGTTAAATTTTACTTTTAGCTGCAGCTATGTTTTACTTTAAATTATCTGAAACAATCTTTCCTTAAAAATCTTCCCCTTCCCCTTCCATGAACACAAAGGCCTCTGAATTCTTAAAAGAAAAAAAAAGGTATTATCCTGGGCAGCTTAATTCTGCATTAATGCATGCACACAAACAAAAACATTTGACTGCTCTAAAAATGACAAAATAAGGATTAGTTACCTAAATAATTTATCATAGTAGAAATTTTATGCTACAAAGATTAATAAGCATAACACACGTAACTTTCAGCTGCAAAGAGTAAAGAAAGATTTTAAATGCTGCCACATATCCAGAATCCAAAGAAACACTCCTTTCAAGTTATATAGTCCCCCAATCCTGATTGACCTGTACTAGATGCGGTATTGTACAGCACGCTGCATTTACAAAAACAAATGCATGAACTTGGGAACTTACAGATCTGAATGTAAAACCTCTTGCTACTCAGAGTTGTCATTGCTGTGAACTGGTCACTCTCATTTTTGGTTCTGACAAATTCCATATTTAAATTGTCTCCATCTCTTAAATGAAATATTTTTGCTCCAAATTCAACATTAAGGACACTAAAGGAATCACTAGGCGAGACAGTGATGGGAAGTCCTAAAGAATTTATTATTACAAACGGTGCTCGGTCTTTTTTGAAGATATCTGAAGTTTGACTAGCTGCTTCAGCAAATGCCTAGAAAGGAAGTACAGATACAAAACACATACGTACTAGATAAGACTTTGCCAAGATAATCTGTGCAAACTTTCATTTAACAATTCTGACACTGCATAGTTAAGTAATCGTCCTCACCATGCCCAAGTTACTCAGCATGTGTAGCCCACATTTGGACAGTGTAATGTTCAGCTGGTCTTTTGAGGAAATATTTATTACTGTTTTATATTCTGGAACTTTGTAGTTTTCTTCTTCTGCATCTGATTCAACCAATGCTTTTTTAGCTTTCTTCTTCATCTGAAAGGAGATTTTTTAAAGAATTCTTACATGAACACTTCTTCTGGAGAGGCAAGTTTCACCTCAAGACTCTTATTCTCTCCCTTTCCCACTTCTATATCCTGCTATGGTTTTCCTTTTTTTTTTCACATTTGTATTCTCAAATAAAAACAAACAGGGAGAGAATAAAGAAGGCAAGATATGTCTCAGAAGTCAATGAAATTCTGGTAACAGTAGCTAAATTTATGATCAAAAATGAAGAACATACACTTACATACTAACTACTAATATACCCAGTAAACGCTGTGTGAAAATGTTCATCTTAATACATCTAATAACACATGTAAAAACTATTATACATCATTGATTTCCTAACTCTTAAATAGTAACCCCAAATTTAATCTTTATCTAATCTTCATAACAAATACTTGTTTTATACATTTTCATTTGTTTGAAGGAAAAAAACAGAAATCACATGGAACACATTTTCCTGGCTTTCAACTTTTCTGGAAATTATGTATTTAGAAATGTTATATTTCAAATCTGGGCAAGAAGATAAGAGGTTGGACTCACTATCTTCTACCTTCCTTCTGCATTAGGTTTCATATCTTTCTGGAAAATGCTCTGGAATATTTTTAACAGCAATTTCTTCACTGCAATATCTCAGTCCATAATCCTTACCCTTCTGAGGCCATTACTGAAGAAAATTGTTTGATAATGACAGCTGCCCTAGGAAAAATGCGTTTTTTCCATTCTAAGCAACCTCTCAGGCTAAAGACACTTGGAGAGTTTTGAAAAAAAGTAATCAGAAAACAACATAATAAGCGGTAAGAGTATCATTTCCACAGTGCACCTTGTACTAGTCAAGAACAGGCATCAGTTTCTCCAATACACTTTGCTACAAGTGTGCCAGTGGAACAACATAAGTGTCCTTCTATCTTTCCCAAGTCGATTAATTGATCAGTAGCATATGACCTAACTTCAGAAAAAACTGATATAAAGCCATTAAGATTATCTAGTGCAACTGGAATCAAAATCTTCTTGCCACCTGAAAGATGAAATTATTTAACAGATCTGTGAATCTGAATCTTGTACATGAGCTGGTTTCATTCGCTAATTGGGAAAAACCATCTCAGTAACCAACACAAAAATTGTTAGATTAGTCTCAGCAATGAAAGGTGCAGAGCATTTATTTCTTCTAAGGTAATGAAATGAAAGATTTGACTTCAATTTTGGAAAACATACCTTGATTTCAAGAATCCATGGTTTGAAAAAATCAGTCTTCTCAACTTCTAGGGGTTCAAGCAAAGGTTCCCACACCCCAAACATCTCATTAAAATAGTGTACCTATTGAAATGAAGTCAGCAAATTACATACAGCTGTTAAATCAACAAAAGCTCTACTCTTAAGTCTTCTTAAAGACTTAAAATTCTGATTTACAAGTGCATTAATTTGGCAATATAAAAGATTTACAAATAGACTGCACTTTCAGCTCCCACCGTAAGACAAAGCAAATGTATTAGAGAAATAAATGAGGCAGCCAAGTCTACTGTAAAGACTAACTTCCAAACAAACGGTATAAGGCATGCCACTCAAAACATAATTTAGGCTTAAACTGTAGGAGCTAGATACCTGTAGCACTGTAACTAAGGAAGAATCTACCTACAATCACTGAACCTTCTGTCATTAATTTCCAAATATGAGCCAGTTTATGTACAACACTGGTACTACATAGTATTTTATAGGAATGGCACATGAATATATTCTAATGTAATTTTAAATTAAAATTGTCAAAGTTTTAGGCAGTTGCTATTTCAAAATTTGATATTGATGCAACACGCTTTTGATAACAGATACAGAGTGCAAATAAAAGACTGCATAACACCAAATTACTGCCATTCATACACTACATCTAATGCATTAGATTTTAATTTTAGCTACGTTAAAACCTCATTCCCATCCGGCTCCCAGAAAATGTTTCTGCAGCTTAACAGATTTTTTTTCTTTTGTCTAAATAACATAATGCGTTTAATTTCTCAAGAAATCTTTTATTTCCTATTCCTCACCTCTAGTTCAAGACGAGAACGTAGGTTGATCAGGGTACTCCAGTTTTTGACTTCTCCAAGAAATGAGGACTTAGCTAGAAGCATTGGTACAGTTCGATGACCAACCCCAGCTTCCAATGTTAGAAAAACGGATTCTATACTCATTTTCAATGACTCTCCTGTGGGAACCAGTTCAGCGGTTGGATTTGTATCTTCATTCTCATTTGACTCTTCAAGAAACCACATCTTTAGATTTTTTATATCTTTCTTATTCCACAAGTCTGGAGGAATTTGGCTAATCTCGTCTTCTGTTGTTTCTGCAGTCTGATACAGGGCTGATGTAATAGTAATTACTGTGTTTATGATTATTGGTGAAACCTACAAATAACAAGTTGAAATAACTGGAAATGAGAAGCTAGTAGAGGAAACAGCTACTTTCAGACACAAAATTATAATGAACATGTTACAGTAACAAAACACTTCTGTCTCTACAAGACTTTTACATTTGAAAACTCATTCCTTTCCACAAGCTACCATTCAACTTATTCAGATTTTCAACTCCCGCTTTTCTTCCAGAGGCTAAGTCATCCAACAGTCCATCTGAACGCTTCAAAACTTATCTCTGCACATCGGGCCATTTCATAAAACATAGGTTCCAAAAATGTGCTATTGTGACAAAACTTAACTAATTTTCAGCTTTGCTGAACAGATAGGTGACTTGTTTAAGAACATAAACAATTCCCCACTGCAGTCATTCCTGATTTTATTGGGTTTTTTTAAGAATCATATCCAAGCAACTTCAAAGCCTTTTGAGCAGAAAGTAGTAGAGAATTAGAAATGCAATAAAAGTGTACCTACTTTTATTGTTAGAGATTTAATCATTAGATCAGCTGTCTGTGGATTAGTACCTGACTGCTTCATTTCAAAGAAGAAGTCACAAGGCTGTAATACCTATACAAAAGAGTAAAATCACATGTTAAACACAGGAAAAAAATCACTTGTAAGTCATACACTTTGAAATACTATACATCAAATATATCAAAAGGAAAAGTTATCGTTACTTGGTTCTTCAGAACTAGGAGTAATCTGAACACTAGTAAAGTGTCCAAATGTAAAGGAAAAAAAAGGAAATCACAAGCATCATGTCAGCCATTTTCAATCACTAAAGATTCAAATGTCTGCTACAGCAAAATCCATTACACTTCAGTAACTCCATTCTTTAGGTAAAGTCTGCAGTTATCTTCAAATACACTGCATCTGCATGCTCCTGACTCTTCAGTTAAGGACAACTCTGCAGCAACTGTCTGAATCACAATCACACAGTCCCAGCTTTATTTTACAATCAGTCCTTGCATAACACCCACTTGCCAAGGTTTACGAAAAGCAAATCTAAGTTACACTACAAACAAAATCATGGTGCTATGTGATCTGGTATTCTCAGTCTCTACTGATACTGTATTGACATGAAAATTTACTCTCCAGTCCCTATCTGAGAGGGTAGGTCTTTCAAAAATGGTAATTTCAAATTATATTAGTTTTGCAATCTTTCTTGACATTTCTGTCCATATCTGAACTGGACGCTGGGGGCATAGGAACACTGAATCAGTTTTACCACACTTTTCCCACCTGAGCTTGATCTAATAGAATTTTTGTCCATATCATTATTTAATTCTCTGCTACTCACATTATTTTTTTTCTTCTTCTGTGCTACATCCAGGAATGAAAAACAGCATTATTCTTTAGAGTAAGGTATATGTAAGAAATGAACAGAAAGAACCTCATTACTCATGCTACTCTGTATCCAGAGGCTAGTTTCCTAGATATCTTTGGAAAACTATTCATTAGGAGGATGAATTAATCCATCACTAGTGTTTCCAAAGTTTGGCCAGAAATTTTGTAATCTGCATATAACCTTGTATCATACGTTTTCTGAAGTCAGATATGGAATGTCATCTGAATCTCTTATTTCTCTGATTATGTTCCCAGACTAAAATTTAGGTTTACAGAAAACCTGGGTTCAGAGATTCCTTATACACGTTTTCAAAATGGGAAGTTATGCTGCCACCTGCCTTCCTTTCTGACCTCTACTATTCTCTTCAGAATCTTCTGAAACTTTCAAAGAAGTTACTATTTTAAGCCTCAAAACTAAGGTCCTCTGAAGTTTCTTTCCTCTCTAGAGCAGAAACATCTTGTCATCTGCTTCTGTAGTCCGAGATAAGAGATTCTGGCAGAAGATACTTCTGTAAGAGGGAAAGCTTGGTGCGAAGTGCTGTGATTGCCTTCTACAAAGTTAGTAATTGCCTTCTACATTTGTGAAGGTCAAACACATTTGTGAGCCCAAACAATAATGCACTGTGTTGTGGCTGTCAGTGCAACTATATCGCCTTCTCAATGACTAGATTGTTAGCAGATTAATGCGGTCAAAGACTGTGTCTCCCAAAGAAGCATCTGATAAGGACATGAAGTGGAAGCCTCAGTACTCTGTGCTTACAGCTTAGTATTTCCTGCGTAACTCTGTAAAGTAAGCAGGCAGTAAAGCAGAGTGGAAAAGACCAGTTCTTTAAAATTCCTCTGCGGTCTGAGAACACAGATAACCGTTGTTGTGAAATTAGTTTTTTTCTTTGACATAAATTACAGTTAACTAAGGTACAATCTGCTGTGGATGCAGAAAAGCTGAAAGAAGCTCCAGGATTCAAATAATTAACAAGTCTGATTCTCTTGCCAAAATATAAATGGACTGTCTTCATATAAGGGATCTACGAACTTTAACACAAAGGAATTTATACACAGCATACCATAAGTAATCTATTTCACAAAACATACTTTCCATTCTGTCCATGATACCTTGTTAGTAGTTAATTAACACAAAGTTTCAGACCAGAACTATTCCAAATTTACTACACTGCATTCAAGACAGCCTATACTTGTAAAATTCTATTTATTTCGTTTACACAGAACATAAAAGTTTCCACCTCTGGGCTCTTGGATTGTCATACAAAGCAAATCTCAAAGCCAGAGATCAAGATGATGCTTCTGACATATCAGACAAAACAGAGTAAAATCTACAAAATAATTAGTTACAAAATTTTCCTCATATGTCTGTAACACACGTTCCAGTACCAAAAGCTTCACAAATAACTTGCATCCTAGTTGTATGAGCTACACAGTTCCTTTTAAATACAAACCAGATGTTTGCAAACTCACCGTAGTAATATTCCCTTTCCTGTTTTCTGGAAGAAATGGGCATGCTCTCATTTGTAGCTCTTTAACGGCAGCTGTCATACTATACCGTTCAGGGTTATTTTTAATGAAGACTTCACACTGTGTTGTAACCACCAAGGCAGGAGCATCACTTCTTGTCAAATCAGCCACAAACACAATCTCTGGATTTTTAACAACAATGTTCATTTCCATGGTAGATACAGGCTGCACAGGTGCTTCAAAAACATAAATTAAATTAGGTAAATTGTTCAAAGATTAAATTGTTTTTATTTACATCTCTCTTATAGAGAAGTTTTAAAGATTTAGTGATAAGATCAAGTATAACTTGATCAGAAAACCTGTAGATCCCTGCAGTTGACATTTATAGGCTCTTCATAGGAGATATAAAACCGTTAAAGCTCTAACTACTTCTAGGTACAACAAAAGATTCCACAAAACTTCTTTGTCAAAATGAACAGGATAACTATATGACCACTGTATTACCTCAGATACTAGCATATATATCAGTTTAACTAAATATCTACATCAGCCATCTATGATAGGGTCTTATGAAAGAAACATGCATACACAAAGCTTACATTTTTCTATAGTATGATAATGCAGCAATTACTAATGTTTGATGTAACCACTGTAGTATGAATACACTTTTCTGAAAGCCTTCCTAAGTTGTTTAGATTTTGATCATCTACTAAATAGTCACAGCAGGCCTAGCTGAAATGGACAAAAAACTAAAATACTTTGGGTACAGGAAAACAAGGGGCTTGATTTGCCGACCTGATGAGAACTGCCCAAGGCCTGGAAGCATAAATAGCCCATTTCCTGCTCTGATGTTCTAAAGCACTAATTTCTGAAGTCAGGTACAGGGTCCTGCACTATAGACCGAATTGAGCACTCAAGCTAAAACCCCGTTTCCTGATGTAGGGGGAAATGCACAACAGTCAGTGGACAAGTGAAATGACAACATTTCTAGGCAGTAGCATCTGGCAGGCTGAATTCAAATTTAAGCATAATACAATATAATCCAACACAATATAATATAATATATAATCCATTATTCTTAGGAAGGACGAAAATTATTATGGTGGTAACCAGCATCATAAACTTTTTTGAGACTGCTAAGATTGCCAAAGAAACATAGAGTAGTGCCAGCTGTAACTGGTGTTTTCATTTCATTTTAGATACACATTTTGTGCTATTTCCTTTGTCTGGTAAGACAAAGCATAATTTGGAAATAAAAGCCAAGGGACATGAACCAATTTCCATGGTGCAAAGAAAGAAATGTTAAAGCTTAGAAGAAACTGTTCTGTACAAACATAGGAAATAGCATAAAAGGGGCATTATAATTTTTAAGGTAGTATTAGAATACCAAAATTAGACAGATATTTCAATACAAGTTTTTAAATATTTCCCATATATACCTTGGTCCTTTAAAGGCAATGACTGTTTGAGATTTCTCTGCGCAGCAGCACTTTCTGCATTAGCTTTTAGGAATATATCTGCAACAGTAAGTAGAAACTCCATGCTTGCACAAAGGTAAATCTCTTGAACAATCACATCAAGAATAGTGCCATCTCTCCCCTGCTTATAGCTTATATCCATCATAACTTTCTTTTCAAATCCGTGTTTCATTTCCACCATCCTGAAAGACCATTAAGGAGGTATTTAATGAGACAATTAAAAAAAACAGTCACAAACACTGAAACACACTAAAAGATTCTCACTCCAGCTACAACACATCAACAACAGTGAATTTTAAAAGTACCACCAAAGATTTTAAAAGGTGACCAATAAAAGCGTTAATATACATTTCATAAAACTTCAGAACTAACGAGACTCCCACATACTGGCATCTAAAGGTGTTCATTATTTGAATACGTCAAACTACAACAAGTGGTGTTCCCCAGGTACCAGTATAGAGACCAGCATTTTTTAACATCTTTACTGGTGATCTGGATGAGGGAACCAAGTGCACTCTCATGGAATTTGCAGATGACACCATCTGGATGGGAGCGCTGATCTGCTTGAGGGTAGGAAGGCTCTACAGAAGGATCTGGACAGGCTGGATCAATGGGCTGAGGTCAACTGTATGAGGTTCGACGAGGCCACATGCTGGGTCATGCACTTCGGCCACAACAAGCCCCAGCAGTGCTACAGGCTTGGGGAGGAGTGGCTGGAGAGCTGCCAGAAGAGAGGGACCTGGGGGTGTTGCTGGGCAGCCGGCTGAACATGAGCCAGCAGTGTGCCCAGGTGGCCAAGAAGGCCAACGGCATCCTGGCCTGTAACATGAATAGTATGGCCAGCAGGACCAGGTCAGGGACTGTGCCCCTATACTTGGCAGTAGCAAGGCTGCACCTTGAGTGCTGTGTTCAGCTTTGGGCCCCTCATTCCAGGAAAGACATTGAGGTGCTGGAGTGTGTCCAGAGAAGGGCAACAAAGCTGGTGAAGAGTCTTGAGAACATGCCTTATGATGAGCAACTGAGGGAACTGGTGTTGCTTAGCCTGGAGAAAAGAAGGCCGAAGGGAGACCTTATTACTCTCTATAACTGCCTGAAAAGAGGTTGTAGCAAAGTGTGGGGTCAGTCTCTTCTCCCATGTGACAAGCAATTAGACAAGAGGAAATGGCCTCAAGTTGCACCAGGGTAGGCTTCGATTGGATATTAGGAAACAATTTCTTCATCAAAGGCATTGGAACAAGCTGCCCAAGCAAAAAAGGTTGAGTCACCAGCACTGGAGGTATATAGAGTATGTGCAGACAGAGCACTTAGTGGACATCGTTTAGTGGTGGCCAGTGCTAGTCCAACTAACTAGTCGAACTAACAGTTGGACTCAATGATCTTAAAGGTATTTTCTGACCCAAACAATTCTATGATTCTATGATCACAATTCCTCATTTACATATCAAAAGTATTATACTTCACTGAAATTTGTTACCCTTCATGAAATAAAAAAATATTAGGCTTACTTACCCAGCAGTTTATTAAAGCTGAAAGTGAAATTTGTTTCTAAACGCATTTATTAACTTCATCTTTAAAGTCTGGTTTCTACCATATATATTCATCTTTTGTAAACAAAACGTGGAACAGAAGGCAAGTAAGATACATAAGTCTACAGTAACACATATTTTAAGAACAATGTACAGGCAAAGCAATCACAGTTTTAACATTGAAAACATTTTGAACTTTGTCAAACTCCAGTAAACAGTAAATTATGTCACAATACAGACCGTGGTGTAGCCTTCTGGATTGACTGTCTTTTATCATCCAATGTACAGTTTGCCAGCTTGACTGAAGCGTTCATTGAACCATCTGACAACATTTTGACAGCAGCTGACATCAAAACTAACTTAAACTCTGCAAGCTTCAAAAGGTCATCTCTCTGATCCAAATTTGTAAGCTGTTTAAATCAAATTAAAATATGGTTGTAGATTTGCTTACAGGTTAACAGGTAGTACACAGGTGTGACAACTTTATTCTAACTGGTATGATTTCTAATAATAACAATAAATCCACTGTTAACTCAAAAGAGAATAAAGAATTCAGTAACATACAGAGAAACTGAAAAAAAGCAACGCTTTACCCTACTACCAACTTGCTAAAGCAAGCATACGTTAGTAAGAGGGAGACAATGTTTCAAAGTACAATTGTGATATGCAGTTTTGGTTTGCTGTTTATGCAAACATGCCAAATAAGCAAGGAAGTTTTATCTCTTATGACTATGCAAGTCTTTAGTCAGATACTGGAAAACTATTCAAAAACTAAAATAGCAGCCTAAATTTAAAATAGAACATTACCAATTTTTTAATCAGAAATTTATTGACAGTTTTGGTAAACTTAAACCAAGAAAAAAAAAAATTTATTCATACTATAACACAAATTTAAAATCTCTCTTCACAGTTTTGTTTATACATTTGTGTGTCCACACACGTGTGTGTAATTAAAGAATACCTTTCACTCTGCTACATTTTCTCCACCCCAGAAAAGTATTTTAAACTAGGATAAGTTTGCAGAAAATTTAGAGTCAAATCACAGAAGATGCCACATGTTTTATGGTACCACTTGTTAATTCTCTTTCCAGTAACATTTGCCATATGGTTTGGTTAAAATTGCTGATTAATATTTTCACCTTGTTTGTTACTATTGCTAGAAATCATTTTAGTCATGAATTAAACTATTCCTACTCAGAATTTCCACTACTCTAGGCAACCTTAAAGCTGTTTTCTTTCTCTTTGGAACGAAAATCATATTTACCTGTTTTGAATTTGGACTATACAATACTAAAGTCAGAGAGTCAAATCTGAAGTCCAGTTTTAGTGTTGTTTTTATTTTCATAGGTGAATGCAATTCCACCACAGCTGATGTCACAACAGTCACACCTTTGAGAAATTTAAAAAAAACCCCACATAATGTTAAACACAACTACTTGACTGCAAAAAAGGAAAAAAATCCACCACCACAACTCCAAACTATCATCCTCACTAATGATTACAAAGACAACAATTTCCTTTTTTTTCCACATGTAAATCCATCCACACCTGGGATATGTTTATCGTGTTCTCTGTAACTACATTTCACAAAATCATACAATGTCTGAGACGATAAAATACTCTTATATTAGCTTATATTCTACATGCAATTTTTACCATCTTTAAGACATAAATGTACAATTTTTCTTAATGTTATACTGTACTGTGTACAAGAATGTTCCAAAGAACACAAGTTTACTTCCACTCTCCTTTTTTAAATCTTGTTGCGTTTTTGCTATTTTTTTGTATCATACAGAAGAATTCAACACACGATTCTTTCTTAACTACAATTTCTTTTTTTTGGTGTGTGCTAAACAGCTAATGGGCAATGATGCCTAGTGAACAGGAACAATGTTTAGGGATGCCATCCTTATGGCAAGACAAACAGATCTGAAACCGAACAGCAACTGAACCAGCATATACAGAGTAAAACAACAGCTTTCCAAAGCTGGGATGTTACCACATCCATGTGACAGACTCGAAGATGCTCACTGCGTTATTGCCAGTAGCACAAGACAGTCCTTACTTTAAAACACATCACGCTACAAAACTCACTTCAGTGACCCAGTTGCTCCTACTCATTATCATTATTGTTGGGTATTGTTCAAACCACAATGTCAAGATAATACAGGCCTACTGTTAGAAACACCTGAATCTGGCATCCTCTCACAAAGCCAATTCCAATAGAAACAATACATTGACTGTAATCAACAGTAATGCCTAAAAACGCTAGACCACACGTAATTTTAGAAAACCTTACCTGCAGAGTGCTGTGAAGTACTGTGAATATCACTGCTATGGCTAGTTGTATCTTTTGGTTCTGGTAAAGATGCTGAGACATCAGAACTTCCACCTATGTTTTCATTTAGTGTCCTCAATATTGTGGTAATATCTTCCTGACTGAGAATTAGCTTTAAAAAAGAATTGTTATTAAACTCAAAATAACTCAATTCATGAAAATTTTGGTGACAAAAATCTAAGTTTGCAAATAAACAGATAAATGAAATTAACTGCATCTAAGTCTCCATTTAGGAGACTAAAGAACCAAGTCAAATGTTTTTCTCAAATTCACACAATTCCTAATGGCAATTTCTAGGATTCAGAACTTGTTCTCATAGTATTTTGGTTTTGTCCATAAAAACTTTCTTTACAAACCTGCAATTTATTTGAATGTTAGAAGTTGTATGTGTATAGTTTAACTTGTAGTCACACAAACTTGTTATCCACATTTAGTCACGGGGTAATTTACAGTAATGGTTCCTAGTTCTATTTCTATATTTGGCAAATTAGCATGATAAGCTGTACATTTTTTGATGCTAAATTTTAATGAGCACTAACTAGCACAAAGTCTGCCTGAAGTATCACAGATGAAGTACAAAGCTTACATTAGAAGAGAAAGCTCTTTCTTTTTCCCTAC